AATGACAAAACACCTGAACTCGCTTCACAGTCATGTAAAAGCAACTGTCATCGCACCACACGACGCTCAGTCGACTCTCTCAGGTCTGGCTAGACGCAGTCAGGACCAGCCCTAGCTTCGCCAGTGGCCATTGTCACCTTAAACAGCAACTCAGGGTTCTGTACACAATAAAATCCTCATTCTGGTGACTCTTGGCTTTTCCCTCCAGCCTGGGATTCGACCTGATGATTGTAGTGAACTAGGCACAACCACTACATAGACCGCTACAAACGGTACGAATTACTCATATCTTAGTCGTCAACAGTTCTATATATTCTATTTTCTTCTGACTTTGAAATTGTGCATGAAGAGGAGATCAGAGTACATCGTATCAGTTGTTAACTACTCCCAGAAGCAGGCCAGAGGTCAGAGGGCTCCGCTCCTAGGTATCCCTGGATGCGACGCTATGTCGACTGGACGAGACTTCGACTATGAGGAGACCTGAGCTTGCAACAAGACTAGACAATTATCGCTGATTGACAATCCGCATTTGTATCATATTATAGTGGCTGTTTTCGTACATATATCCTTTCGACATGACGTTTCATAGTTAGTCCTTGTGCTAGGCATGCTAAAATTATTTTCTCACATGGTTTTGTTTAATGCAACGTCAATTAATTCTTATAACACATTCCCTATTCAGTTGCGCTAAAGATACGTTGAAGTAGTCAACATAGGCCGCCCTCTCATCTCTTGCCTTTTCGGTAAAATAAAGAAACCCACTAGCACGGCATCTAAGAGTGACTTAGTTAAGCGCGACAGTATGGTGTGAGATCAAGCCATCAGTTGTTGCAACTCCTTAAAATATCACCTGCCGTAACGAGTTCTATCTAGCTATGCCGCCGTTATCGAAGATGTTCGCCTCGATCTCATCGTGGTAACGATGAATATGTGTCTGCTTCTGCCTGTCGTCCGGAATCGCGGCATCTACAGTCTCAGGAAAAACCTACGCTTCCATCACTGTCAAATATAGCGAAAAACTAATGGCATAACGGTAGTCGCGTTACATCAAAAGATGCAAACGTTTTCAGGACGTAGCATGGCCACAGTACGGACGAGAGGATCTCCGGAGACAGCCAATACCAACGCCCCGTCACTTTTTAATTCCTTCAAAAATTAATCTGTAACTTGGGGTAGATCAGTATATTCAGAGGTCTATATGCACATACCCAAATTTGATGCGAATATCTAGGCCGAAATCCATCAAGCACTGCGGGGTAGCCGCGTAATATTCGCAGACTGCCAACACGCAGTCAGGCATATAACCTACGTGGGTATTTACCATACGGGCAGCCCAGACAGGCGTTTCATCAGGTTAGGCTCATCAGTGAGTACCCCTTAGAATTCCATATGTTGTTTTTGGTAGATGCTCCGAACCCCTCACAGCTGTGCCACGTAGCGACAACATATCGGCGAAACACCTGTATGGTCTTTAAGCTACTAGTAGGGTAAATTTTTGCACAGATTATCCTCACCATTATAGTGTCTGCAGTGGTGAGGATATGCGCAAGTTTTGGTGTTATGAAACGCGTCTCATGCGAAAGGCAGTTTTTACAAGGCCGACGGGAGAGCGCTTAACAGGCCAATAAAGTGTCAGATGCCTTTTCGGAATACCCCTCAATCGCTCCTCTCATACTGGGTCTGCCATGACTGAAGCTGTGAAAATGTATCGGTGCTGCAGCCCACCTCCTCCAAACGCGAGATGCCTCAGACGTGGTCTCGCGGGG